AAAATGAGCATAAATCAAGGCGCCCGTTTGTTACGAAATAACGAGCAGGGAAACGCGTGTTTCGGCGAAGGCGACTTCGATGACGACCTTCGATTCAATTTCCTGGAAAGACTACAACATATTCAAAAGGATACATCTTGATTTTGATGAATAATGATGAGACACATGTCAGAACTTGAAGCTGAAGTTCCGGCGGAGCAATTTCGCGACCGGAAGTGTACTTTTCTTGAACTTTTTCAGGTCCGGGAACTCCAATCTTCCTCAAAATTTGCAGGGAGCTAGGTGAGCCTGTGAGGGACATGGCCGGTTAGTTTTATGAGGGATGAGAGCTGGCTGGCTGGTTTTATAAAAAGAGAATGGCTGGCCGGCCGGTTTTCCAAAAAGGAAATGGCTGGCCGACTGGAAAAGGTGGTCGGCCGGCCATCTGACCAAATCCGAGGGCATTTTGGTCCTTTCACCTCTTTTCTTTATGCTCCTTCATCCCAAGACTTTGAGCCTATAAATGCAGCCGAGAGGTCTTCTTCTCTTGTCTCCTACACCATTTTCTTCTCCAGATCTGAGTTCCACACGCGTTTTCCAACGCCCTACGCAAGTTGTTTTCGCGAAAATATTCAGTTTCAAGCTCCTTGAACTGATTAAATTTTGGTTTCAGAGCTTCTTTTCTCATTTTCGCCACTTGAGGTGAGTTTGTCTCAATATTTGAAAGATTTTCTCGGGAGTTGACTTTTGTTGACTTTTTCATTTCTCGAGAGTTGACTTTTGTTGACTTTTTCCAATTTGGCTCATTTTCGCTCATTTTTGCTCCTTTTATAGATTTTCTGAAAATGGCGGGTCATTCTCCTCATGGTGGAGGCTTTCCGGGTAGCGGGCACGATTTCGATCCCATGACTTTGCCCCCGAGGGTCCGCCCTTTTATTCCCGGAAGGTACGCTCCACCAGCACATGTCCTTCCCCGTGTCGTTTTTCGTCATTTCACTGATTTTGATGAGCGAGCACCCGGGGATCTACTTCTCCGAGAGCCAGAGCATCACCTCTCCCATGAGGCCCGAGAGGTATTTACTTCATTTTCTGTATTTTTCGTACATTTCGTGCCTTTGCCATGCTTGAACACACAGTTTAGCCTATGACATAGTACTTTGTTTGCATCCTGAACATGTAGCTTAAGCACTTGAATTTCTGAACACTCGGCTCATTAATTGATTGCGAATACACGGCACACATTAGTTAAGAAGTGAACACACAACTCAAACACTGATTTATCGAACACACAGCCCGAATTTGAAGGTGAACACACAGCACACACTGACTAGGAGTAGAACACACAGCCCAAACTTTAATTTCCTGAACACGCAACCCAGATTGATAGTGAACACGCAGCCCACACTAATTGAGAGTTGAACACGCAGCCCAAACTTTAATTTTCTGAACACGCAGCCCAGATTGATAGTGAACACGCAGCCCACACTGATTGAAAGTCGAACACGCAGCCCAAACTTAAATTTTTCTGAACACGCAGCCCAGATTGATAGTGAACACGCAGCCCACACTGATTGAAAGTCGAACACGTAGCCCAAACTTAAATTTTTCTGAACACGTAGCCCAGATTGATAGTCAACACGTAGCCCACACTGATTGAAAGTCGAACACGCAGCCCAAACTTAAATTTTTCTGAACACGCAGCCCAGATTGATAGTGAACACACAGCCCACACTGATTGAAAGTGGAACACACAGCCCAGATTTAAATAGTGAACACGCAGCCCACAGTTTGATTGAAGTCGAACACGCAGCCCAAACTTAAATTTTTCTGAACACACAGCCCAGATTGATAGTGAACACGCAGCCCACACTGATTGAAAGTTGAACACGCAACCCAAACTTAAATTTTTCTGAACACGCAGCCCAGATTGATAGTGAACACGCAGCCCAAACTAATTGAGAGTTGAACACGCAGCCCAAACTTTAATTTCCTGAACACGCAGCCCAGATTGATAGTGAACACGGAGCCCACACAGATTGAAAGTGGAACATGCAGCGCAAACTTAAATTTTTCTGAACACGCAGCCCAGATTGATAGTGAACACGCAGCCCACACTGATTGAAAGTCGAACACGCAGCCCAAACTTAAATTTTTCTGAACACACAGCCCAGATTAATAGTGAACACGCAGCCCACACTGATTGAAAGTCGAACACGCAGCCCAAACTTAAATTTTTCTGAACACGCAACCCAGATTGATAGTGAACACGCAGCCCACACTGATTGAAAGTTGAACACGCAGCCCAAACTTAAATTTTTCTGAACACGCAGCCCACACTGATTGAAAGTCGAACATGCAGCCCAAACTTAAATTTTTCTGAACACGCAGCCCAGATTGATAGTGAACACGCAGCCCACACTGATTGAAAGTCGAACACGCAGCCCAAACTTAAAATTTTCTGAACACGTAGCCCAGATTGATAGTGAACACGTAGCCCACACTGATTGAAAGTCGAACACGCAGCCCAAACTTAAATTTTTCTGAACACGCAGCCCAAATTGATAGTGAACACACAGCCCACACTGATTGAAAGTTGAACACGCAGCCCAAACTTAAATTTTTCTGAACACGCAACCCAGATTTAAATAGTGAACAGGCAGCCCACAGTTTGATTGAAGTCAAACACGCAGCCCAAACTTAAATTTTTCTGAACACACAGCCCAGATTGATAGTGAACACGCAGCCCACACTGATTGAAAGTTGAACACGCAGCACAAACTTAAATTTTTCTGAACACGCAGCCCAAATTTAAATAGTGAACACGCAGCCCACAGTTTGATTGAAGTCGAACAAACAGCCCAAACTTAAATTTTTCTAAACACGCAACCCAGATTGCTAGTGAACACGCAGCCCACACTGATTGAAAGTTGAACACGCAACCCAAACTTAAATTTTTCTGAACACGCAGCCCAGATTTAAATAGTGAACACGCAGCCCACAGTTTGATTGAAGTCGAACACGCAGCCTAAACTTAAATTTTTCTGAACACGCAGCCCAGATTGATAGTGAACACGCAGCCCACACTGATTGAAAGTTGAACACGCAGCCCAAACTTAAATTTCCTGAACACGCAGCCCAGATTGATAGTGAACACGCAGCCCACACTGATTGAATGTTGAACACGCAACCCAAACTTAAATTTCTCTGAACACGCAACCCAGATTTAAGTAGTGAACACGCAGCCCACAGTTTGATTGAGGTCGAACACGCAGCCGAAACTTAAATTTTTCTGAACACGCAGCCCAGATTGATAGTGAACACGCAGCCCACACTGATTGAATGTTGAACACGCAACCCAAACTTAAATTTCTCTGAACACGCAACCCAGATTTAAATAGTGAACACGCAGCCCACAGTTTGATTGAAGTCGAACACGCAGCCCAAACTTAAATTTTTCTGAACACGCAGCCCACACTGATTGAAAGTTGAACACGCAGCCCAAACTTAAATTTTTCTGAACACGCAGCCCACACTGATTGAAAGTCGAACATGCAGTTCATTCATTTCATTGGCACACAGCTCATTCATTTCATTAGCACATAGCTCATTCTTTTCATTGGCACACAGCTCATTCATTTTATAGTGACACATGTATTCATTCTGAATGCAGGTTGCTTCTCGCAGTGTACGGCGGTATGGCTCCACCGCCGCGCGGGACTGGTATGTTGAGCTCCCAGAGGCTGTCCGGGATTTAGTAGACTTGGCAGGGTTCGGGGCCTTCTGCATTGGATTGTCACGTTGTCCTGCCAGAAGGACACTGATGGCGGCTTTGGTAGAGAGATGGTGGGACACCACCAACTCCTTTCATTTCTCTGCCACTGGGGACATGACCATGACATCTCTGGATTTTGCGGTATTGACCGGCTTGGACATAGGAGGTTGGTCCATTCCTTATGACGAGGACATGGGCGAGTGGGAGGCCGCTTGGATATACCTGCTGTGGGCCCGCCCGCCTGTTGACAAAGTCTCCGGGAGAGTTCGATACACTTGGTTCTCTTCTCACTTCCGGCGGGCGGAGATGGTGCCTAAGACTCCCGAGGAGATAGAGCAGTATGCTCGCGGTTTCCTTATGTTCCTCTTCGGGACTACTCTGTTTGCCAATAGAGGGAACACGGTCGGGCTATATCTGTTGAGCGCTCTAGTTGACCTATCACAGGTCAGTCGATACGACTGGGGTGGCGTCGGCCTGGCTACCCTTTACTACTATATGAGCGCCACCTCCCGCGGGCGGGGAGACTTACTTGGCGGTTATTGGAGAGCCTGGGAGGTACTTTTCTGTCCCCTTGATTTACATTTCTGCTCTTCATTACTTGTACATTACACACACAGCGCACTTTACAGTCTGTATTTTGCTCTCAGCACTTTGTACTTACATTCTGCACTGCTTTTCTCAGCTATGGGTCTACGTACACTTCCCAGTATTAGCCCCAGAGTTATAGGCGGCAGGCCCCCCCATGACCCCATATTCACTGGTGTTCGAGGGCCCGCACCGGCCGAGACCCCGAGAGACTCTCGACACTGTGCGGCCATCGGAGGTACCTCAGAACCTTCAGTCCCTTCCATTTTCATCTTTGATTTGCCCTGCACGTTCCTGATTTCTGATTGGTTTATTCACTTGTTATCCGCAGATTACATGGCATCCTTGGGCACCCTTGGGCGATGGTCTCCGATTTCAGTATCCCGGAGGATCGGGCACCTCCCAGTACAGGTTCCTGCTCGAAGGACCTATTGGTAGAGCATGGTTTCTGGGGGAACACTTTCTACGTCAGGTATGGGGGTATACTTCTCAGGACCCTCCCGTAGCACCCCCAGTCAGTATGTGGACTGCTGATAGGTTCTCTCACCAGGAGATAGTCGGCGCTATGCTGGGTAGTGATGCCCTGTTGCACCTCGAGGAGGGGGACTACGCCACTTACCGTCATACATATTTGATGCCTCCACTGGCGGGGGTTTGCACCCCGATGACGAGGTCTGCTGGTACGTCATCTTCGAGCCAAGCCCGGGCTCGGGCTGCAGACGCCCCTTCTACTAGTAGGGCTGGTACATCGAGAGGTGGGGGTAGATCGGTTCCTCCGACTCCTCCGACTTATCCTCATCCTGGATGGCCGGACATGCCGTCCGAGTTGACGGGATGGCGTTTTCGGACTCCTTACCCGATTCCGCTAGAGCCTCCACTTCCTGACCATAGATATGTCAGGGATCCTGATTCACCACCGGTATGATTTATAGCTTTGATTTATCAGTCGGGTACTTGGACATTCATTCCTTTACTGATAGTTTTGCCTTTGTATTTGTAGCCTCCGGTTGAGTATGTGGACGAGATTCTCGGGGTGATGGCCGCACTTGAGGGCATGGTCCTTCGGAGAGAGACACACCTATCCGTTATGGGTGTGCAGGTACCGTTCATTTTTCTTGTATTTATCACACTTCTGATGACACACTAGTTTTGAGCATTCTTCTGTATTGTAGAGCACATCCGACACACACCCCACCCACATACTGTACTCGTATCTGATTTTCATATTTGAACTGATGTACTGAACTTTTCATTTTCAGATGCCTCCTGTATATGCTCAGCCGCGGGCCGGGCCACCTGGGCCTCCTTGGGGAGCTGGGCCATCTGGGCCTTTTTACGGAGCTGGTGGACACGCCTAAGATCTGTATGGAAATGTGTGTTGTGCATTTTGCCCAGTCAGGTAGTGAACCGACGCGACAACTTAACTTTCTAAGATCTAACAAAACCTTAGCAAGTTTACAACTCGATAAACAAAATACAATAATGTTGACAACTCGATAAACAAGACTTAAACGAAAAGCTTAAACAAAGAGTAACAACTCAAAATACGAGACGCGACAGCTCGACAAACAACTCGATAAGCAAAACGATAACTCGATAAACAAAACAACAACTCGATAAACAAGACTTAACAAAACGAGGTGTACTTTGGACGATCTGGGTAACGGAACGCATCCGAAACAGAGAGAAATAGAGGTCTTCGACACATCCGTTGCATGGAAATGCTTGAAACCTTCCCTCAAAGGGTAAAACAGGGCCAAAGACATACACTGGAGCATGGCTGGCCACTTTTGGGAGCCGGCTGGCCAGATTTATTGCAGAGGGGAGGGCCACCGGCCAGTTTTGAAACAAAAGGTGGCCGGCCTGCCAGAAAAAGTGGCCGGCTGGCCATTTAACTCTGCAGCCGCCCAATTTTTGACACTTGTCCCCTTGAATAGTGTCTTTTTCTCTTTAAAAGCCTTAGCTCCGTGTTTTGATTCAATTCATCTTGGTTTTGCACAAAAATGGAGGCGTTCCTCATTGAAAATCTCACGGCTTGGATTGCTTCTCTAGATGGCTCGGAAAAGTTGAACTTCCGGGGTTTCGGCTTGAATGCACTATTCACGCTAAGCCGCACTCCGCTACATCTCCCTTTCCTCCATGCCGTGGCGAGGTTTTGGAACCCGGTGACGCATGTCTTTAGCTTCGGCAGTCAAGAGGTATGTCCAACTTTTGAAGATTTTTGAGTTTTGATGGAGTCCGAACGTCATGAAGAGATCTTGCCCCAGTTCCGCTTTGGTCACGCCCAGGCTTTAGGGCGAATGTGTGGACTCACCGCGCATGATGCTCGGTCTCTGATTTGTAATGGGGAACTGGATATCCTTGGTTTGATTCACCGCTTTTCTGACGCCGGTGATCGCAGCAACCATTATTGGCAAGGTTTCCGGCAACACTCCCTTCGCTTGTGCTTACTGTCTCACTTTCTGCTTTCCCCGGGCTTTGGCGGATGTAGCATTCGTCTGATTGAAGTTGCTCAAGGCTTGAGAGAAGGAAAGAGCTGCATAGCCATGACCTTGGCCGAGACACTGATGGGCTTGGATTCTGTCTATCGCCGGGAGACGACTAGATTTGCTGGGAGCCCACTGCTGCTGCAGGTAATGTTTCCCACTCAATCTTACATATGTGTTTGCTCACATCACTCGGCCCTCAGGCTCGGTTTTTCTCACAAAAACCCTTTTCTCGCTTTTCTCTCGTCGTACATCTCTCTATTCTTTATTCTCTCATTTTTCATCCCTCCCCAGGTATGGTTAATGGACAAGTTGCAGGTTGTGGACTCTTGCCCGGCCTACTCAGCTCGAGGCTATTTCTTTCAACAGTGCCTAGTCGATGCCCCTGATGAAAGGTGGTAGTTTGACTGGATGTACAACCTGTCCGCAGATCGCATTGCTTGGCGTTGTCCTTGGCTCAATCTCCCGGCAATGAGCTACAGCATGTCCCGACTGATCGGGATCCAGTTGATTGGTCTAACCCACTGTGTGTTCTACTTTTCGTTCCGGTTCCTGCGCCAGTTCGGTCATGATCAGATTTGCCCACCAGAGGGGATTGAGTACCCGGCTGCTTTCCGGGTCCGAGGTGCACAGCTTGCCCGATATGCCACCGCATGGAGGACTAGAGAGCTCCTGGCTCCTGCTCCCACTTTCAATTGCACTTTGTCTGACGAGTGCTTGGACTGGCTAAATGAGGAGGCACAGGTTGGGCCTAGCTTGGCGTCAGAGGCTTCGACCAGCTCTGGGAGGGAGCGCAGGGATACTTGACTTGACTATGCCCCGTATTTATTGCTTTATTAGTACTTTCAAGTTTTCTTTATGAATGTAATAAAAAACAAC